GATTCAGGAATCTTTATAAAAGTTCGAACATCATTATATGCAGTCTACTCACCCCACAACATAATTGATGAATAATGTTGACATTATCAAAGAGTAACATACCATTTCATTTTAAAGATTCCTAGAGATCCCATATCTCTAATATTGATGCCATCTCTCTAGCACCTGAGTCAAGAGGCATGTTGACTCTCCCCTGAAAATTAAAAAAAATATATCAAAACTTTTACTACTCTTCACTCTAAATAATGTTAAATTGTTACCTTGTTTGATCTTTTGGATTGATTGCTTTCATGGGTGTGTCCAATAGCATCTGAAATAACCTCTTCCGTGTATGAGATGGTGAAGAAGTGTCCATGTCATCTGACATACCAGATGAAGCTCTTGATAAGTAAACTTTACCACTCATATCCAAAAAACTTCTCAGGTCCATAAATATTACATGATATGAATTGACTGCTACTTTGAGGCTCGAAGGTTTGAATCTTCTGGTGCAAGTAGCTTAAACAATGCCAAAGATTCCTCAAATTTTCCGGATGCTGTCAATTGTACAATATGCATTTTGATACAAGATTTAGGCACTTATAAAATTACATAAATGGCCATTGCTCTTGTAAAATAATTGTAGCATAAGGCTTCTAAATAAGATGAGGCTCATTACTAATGTGCTCAATAAGGCGAGGCTCTAAATTCCTTAACTTCTATAGAAGTTCACCATCAGGACCACATAGTGCATCCATGTTGTAATCATAGTTAAAAAAAAAAGTTAATATGAACAAAAGTTACAGAACCATGTTTGATTTAATTTTTTATTGAAAACAAAAGTTAATATGAACAATAAGGCAAGGCTCTATTATACGACATGAACCATTAGGGTTAGTTGAATAGCTTCCTTTAGGGATTCCCCATGACACAGGATTATAACTTTTATTGAAACAAAAAAAGAGTAAATTTATAATTTTTAGAACAAATAAAATTTTAGAATGAAGAATTAAAGAGCATGAATTAGAATTACCCCCAGTTGTATCCATCCCCATTTTGGATGGTTGTTATGTACTCCTATTGCTCAGGTGAATCTGATGGCAGAGATTTGAGCATCTCCATATCTAATTTTTTTCATTGCAATCCAAATCATAAAATCATACACTGTAAAATCTGAATAATAAGAAAGAAGGAAATGAAGAATTTTTCTTACCTACAGACTTCCAAATTATGTGTGAGGCCAGCATCTGATAATTTTTTCAAATGAAGTACACCAGGCGAGTCCTTCAACACAATAACATATAAACTTTATAGAATTTTAAATGTTTAATAAAAAAGGATCACATATGTTTGTATTTTGAACATGGGTATGAATTAAAAAACCTACCTGAGAAGTGATGGCAAGATAACCTCCTCAAATTTCTGGATCTACTGTAGAGTTGATAATGAAAGTAAGTTATACTTGAGCAGTTATGAAGGACACATGACATGTTGTACAATCAAACATTCAACCTGGATCAAGTTGCATTCGCTTCAGAAGGTATTAAAGATGCTCAACAAACAATATGTGCCACAATTATCAAACATTTGCTACAAATGGGATCAAACAAAGAGCTGAAAGGATTGATGAAAACTGTGAATATACAAGACATTGATGTTAATATAAATATTATGAATCTCTTTCTTTTGATACTTTGTAATTACAGACCATTTAATCTTGTTTTTATGTTTAGAATTTGCAAGATGAAATGATGGACATGATGGATATAAGCAGTGAGATACAAGAATCTCTTGGTAGAAGTTTAGTGTGCTAGATGATATTGATGAAAATGATCTCATGGGTGGTAAGCACAAATTCATTATTATTATTTTTCTTTTTTTAAATGTTAACTTCACTTCATGGAAATGTTTAAGAACTTGATGCCTTGGAGGCAGACATGGGTCAAGAAACTGAAGGTGAAGGGGTACCTTCATATATTTGTCACACCTCCAAACCAGAACGGCGGAAACGTTCGGGGGCGGAGGACGTCATATTCAGTATCATAATAGTTCATAGAAAGGAAAGTACACACCACCATATATATTAAAGTTTCCAAGATGTTTACATAATTGTATTCATTACATGTTCAAAAGAAAAATACATAAACATCATTCAAAAGAAGTAATTAATGCCAGCGCATTAATCCCAAAAGTTGATTCCCAAACCTGCTTAGCGGTTCCTTGAGAATACAAGTTAACTCAAAGAAAAAGTGTCAACAATTAAGTTGGTGAGTGCATAAGTAGTTTAGAAAAATTGGATGCCATTCCAAAATGGGTGTATGTTTTCCAGAAAACTCAGTATTTCAAGTGTGACGAGTTATGACTTGTTGTGTTGAAAATGAATGTATTAGATCCAGAAAATCCCATATTTTCCCTAATGGTTGAGATATGATTTGTTGTGTCTTCCAAGAAAAACCCTTATTTTCTTATTAAAAGTATGAAATGCATATGAATGTTCGTGTCATAAGTTGTAAATAATTGCACCAGGAAAATCCCTTATCTTCCTATTAGTTGTTTGGTTTGTATACAGGAAAAACCCTTATTTTCCTAACATGATTGGCAGTCTCTAAGACCGAAAATCGCAAGAAAACGCCGTTCTTAAAAGTTGTGTCACAGTTTTATATAATAAAGCTATACGAAGATCGCGTTTGTTAGATGAAGAACAGTTTTAATAGCCACTCGTTCATAAAAGCATAATACTATCATAATTGTATATCCGATGAGTTTTATAACCATACTAAACATAATATGCCTGTAACGACGTTCTTCAGGCGTCGCAACGTTATGACAACTGTCACCCTAAAAGACGGACTGTAGCTAACATTCAGGGCGCGGGATCATGACTTCCCGTATAGATCTATACACATTTGACACGTTCTACGAACGGGAGATTCTGGTTATAGACAGGACTTGCAGCATTACTTTCTAATAAAGAAAAGTAACGTTTGAAGATATACACGTCTCATGGATTCTCAACTAAGCCTGTATTAAAGTGATAGTTTTTGTATGCAAAGTTTATCCTTTTTCACAATGTTTGACAAAGCATAAATCATAAGTTTTTAGAATGTATAAAACGACTTAACAATGAAAGGTACTTTGAAATCATTATATACTTTGCATAAGTCTAATGCACACAAAGTATGACAAGAGTTTTCCATAATAGTAATGAGTTCCAAGTGATTTATTCGGTAAAACAAGCGAAGTGAAACTTTATAAAATACACGATGATAACCGTATGTTTACTTGTATTCCCCCTAAAAGCGTATAAAAGCATTTAAAATGTATTTAAAGTGTGTTTGAAAGGGGTATGAACTCACTTGAAAGTTTGAAGATAGCAAGATGGAAAACCGGGCAAAGTTTCGTCTCGGGAAATGGATTTTCCTCGGGATTCTCGGGATTTCTCGGGAGTAAAATCGACCTTCGAGACTTGCACAAAATGACCAGGGCTTCGGGGTAGTGCGAGCACGGAAAACGAGGCAAAACGCAAGAAAAAGGAGAGAGAATGAGCAATTTTTCCGGGAATCCTCGCATCCCTTTTATAGGGGGCTGGAAGGCCCACGTACGCGGGGCGTACTCCCGTACGCGGCGCATACGGGACGTCACTGCTGACTGCATCCTCGGCTGCAACGCTTCGGACGGGACGGGGGAGGGGTAGGCTCGCATAGGGGCGACGTGGATGATCCGAGGCCGTTGCCTCGAGTACGCGTGGCGTACGAGGGTACGCGGCGCGTACCTCGGCCCTAGGTGCTGACTCCTTCGGATAATACCAAATTTTTAATAAAAATTATATATAAATTATTTATCAAACTTCAAAAATTCATATCTCCTTCATACGAACTCCGTTTTTGACATTCTTTATATCCCCGCGAAGGTGAGACTACAATCTACAACTTTCATTTAGATTCTGTTGGCAAATTCCGAAATTATTTTTATTATTTATTTATTAAAATGACGTGATTCAGGAATTTCCTTAAAAATTCATAACTTTTTCATACGATGTCCGATTTGAGCATTCTTTTTATGCATGTTTGTAGTTTAACGATATCTATGACTTTCATTTAGACACCTAAGGTCAGAAGGTGTTTTATTGAAACTTTGCGTTTTTACGTAACTTTGTATTGCCGGTTTTTGTCGGAAATCTTAGAATGGTCATAACTTCTTCGTTATAACTCGGATTTTTGTGTTATTTATAGGTTTGGAAACCTTAAGACGATACCTACCACATAGCGTACTCCAAATAGAGTTTTTGAATACTTCATTTTTCTATGATATTCTAATTCCTTTCTCAAAGAGGTTACAGGACTCGATTTTTACTGACTTGAAATGACGGGCTGTTACAATATTCAACCTGATAATGAACCTGATCTGAATGCAGAACTTAATATGCCTTTAGCTTCAAGTGGACATGCAGTGCCAGTGAAACCATCAATCAGATGACCTCATTTCAAGAATCTAGAGTAAAATCACAACAAATTTCAAGAATTTCAGATCCTAAATTACTAAAATTGAGAACTCTTATGTTTCACATATGCAATCTAACATCAGAAATGAAAAACAAGAAGTGCATTTAAATACTTCAAGAACAGATAGAAGAGAAGAAAAACAGGAAAGAATAAACCAGATGACCACATTACAAGAATCTAGATTGAAATCACAACAAGCTTCAAGAATTTCAAATACCCAAATTGCTAAAACAGTGAACTCTTCTGTTTCTCATACATCTAGCATTAGAAATGAAAAAAAAGAATTGGGTATATGATTTTTAACACTATTGATTCAAAAAAGTTTTACCTAGTCGAGTAGCATGCTTAAGCATCATCTGTGGTAATATCCCTTTCTGCAAGGTTAGCTTCCGAATTTAACATCATTAATTAGTTAATTAATTAAAGGGTACTTTGGGAAAATCATAAAAAAGATAACTTTTTTGGTTTTGTGTTACTAGGTTATGCCTGATCCTAGCGGAATGAGTAGAGGTTTTGGTTTTAAATACTAGGAATAGGAATATCTTTTACAGGTTCTTGATCTTTGGGTAAAGGGGTTTTAGGAGGTTGACCTCGTCTTTTTACAGGTGTGTCTTTTACAGGTTCAGTGAATGCAAGAATTGCATCAGGATCTGGTCCCACTTCAAATTCTTCACGATTGTCTATTTCTACCCTTAGTTCTGTAGAATCCAGGGCACCATAACATAAGATCTGCAAAATGATTAGCTTCCTACCTGCAAAAAGGGTATAATAGTCCTTTTCTAAGAAACTCACAGAATTATGGTCAACGATGGGGATTTTAACCATACCAAGTTGTGGAGTATTAATGAGGACTTAGCTCTACAGTATCAGCTTAGCTCTGCCGTATCAACTTTAGTGTCTTCTGCTTTCTTAATCAATGAGGACTTCAAATAGATAATCAAAGTCAACATCAATTATCTAAGATGTGGTCAACTATTAAACCAATAGATCAATCAAAACCCTAAACTAAATATACCTCACGTTCAGGGAACTTTGGCATTTCTGCTCATATATCCATCAGAGCTGCACCTTTCCTACTCAATTCAAAATACTCCACAGCCATTCTCATTTTTCTGTAGCATTAATCACTATTTGGTATTAAAATTTTTGGGATTTGACCATGATCAGAAAAGTCGATCTTGTTAAGCCTAACACAGCATAAAACTTGCTTGGGTAGTTCTTCAGGATGTTGTGCCTAAAAATTGAGAATCCAATCAGATACATATATTCAGTTTATGAATCACAACACAAAATCCAATTCCATATTCAAAAACCAGAAACCCAATTTACCTGAATCGTTAAACCAATGCCAAGAATCCCATGTTTTAATCGTCCCTGGAATGCATCAAGTGCTTTCCGTGAGATGTAGCTGAATCGATGTATATCTAGGTAAATTTCGAAGTAGTTATGTCCCTGCATAAAAAGAATATGCACAATTTCAATTTCGTAATTCCGAATTGAAGATTGAGATTTAAAGATTAAAACCCAAGATTTGGAAAGGAATTACGAACCCGATAGAATGTTTGTTGAGGGCGTGAAAGAACCGGTTTATCGTGTATCCACATTTTGAGTGCCCAAAATATCACTGAACCCACCGTATTTAAAGATCTTAGCATCTTCAACACGTTCCTCTTTTAATCCGCTCAGGAATCACGAATCCAGAGATGTCGCAATTGTGGGGGCAATGATTGATAGATCCGCCGCTTGTTGGACGGTCCATTTTCCGGTCTCTTCCATGCATGTTTTATGCAACACTTTTTCGACTAGATATTCGTCTCCCTTGTCGTCCTTGATTTCGAAGATGTCTGCGGTGATTTCAATCAAGAAGCTTTGAAGATCCCCTAGATTCCATTCCGAGAACACTTTGTGTAGTTCCTCGTTCAAGAATTTCCCAACGGATTCAACACGTCGTATGCTTCGGAAATCAGCTACATGTCACCATACTCGATTCCGTTGTGGACCATTTTGACGAAATTGCCGGAACCACCTTCGCCGATGTATGTGACACATGGACCACTGTCGGGTACTTGAGTGGCTACTTTGAGCATGATGTGGAGAAGTGAAGCGGTGGATGTTTGAGAATCAAGAGAGAAGAAAGAAAGAAAGCGGGTTTTCGACAGGGACGAGCTAGGGTTTTCAGCCGGTGGAAACAAAGCGCAGTTTTTAATTTTTTGGATTTCATTTCCCCCCATGAGAGATGCAATGCGCGTTTCATTAAAATTTATAAAACGACATGGTTAGACGACACACATTTTATTTAAGGTGCCCTCCGTGCTTTTTTTTTTATTTTTATTAGACACTAATTTAAGGGCACACAAAAATGCATGCCCTCTATGCTTCATATTTTGGAAAACTGACATCAATTTTTAGGGCACGCACAAATACCCGTCCTCTATCAGCGCGTGTCATTGATTGCGCGTCGTGAAAGACTGTTTTTCCAGTAGTGGCTCCATCGAACTATGACAAACATTAAGTCACCCTTTTCCACCTTTGCTTAGAACCAATTAGTATGTCGGATAACTACACACGCTCCACTAACTTCTTAGCAAGGGTGTAAAGTGTAATTTCATGGGATTGCATCAATTTCACTTTTTCCTAAAGTAACTAGGATTGGGAATTTGTAAAAGCGTTTAGTTACTTTACATAGATTCATTATACTTATTAATGAAGAAAGGATTGCTCTATCCTACCCGTTCAGCTAACGACGCTCCACCAATCAAGAAAGCGGTGGGTAAGAGTGGATACCCATTAAACGACCATTTTATAGGCCATATCCTTATACCCCCTTATAGATCGGATTCGTGAATGAGGCCTACTAACGGTAAGACTAGCATTTTAGTTATACATATATAATATTAGACTTTTAATGTTATACATAGTATAAGGGTGTATTTTACACTTTTAAAATACTAGGTGGTTTAAATTACACTTTTAATTAATCAATATCATCATGGATTTATTAAGACTCTTTTAATTATACACTTAATTAATTTAATAAAACCATAAGAGTTTAAATTGAATTTTTTATTTTTCAAAATTATGGTTTTAGAATTTAGACTTTCAAAATTAAACTTTTAATCAACAATTTAAATCCCAAAACTCGAGGGTAGGTTTTTGAAACTTTTCAAAAAAAAAAATAAATTTTAATCTCACTTAATTTCTTTTTTCGAATTTAAGAAAATTTAAATTAAAATTTTAAATATTAAAACTCTTGATTTAATAATTATCTTGAATTAAACTATTAATTTAAATTATTAAATCATAAGGGATTATCTAGATCATAGGGATAATTACCAATTAGACATTTAACTTATCCTAATCCCTTAAACTTCTACATAGATTTCGAAAATAAGGATAGTGTAACACCGTAAATTTCAAAACAAAATTTTCAATTTTTATAAAACATAATTCACTTAATATTCATAAAACAACAATATTTGAACATTCAATCCAAGTAATACAAAATCCCAAGATCTCAAAATCATAAATCCCATGCGTGTGTACTGATCAAGCCGGCGCCTTCCCACGGTCGTCACTAGTACCTGAAACAAATAACACCAAACACTGTAAGCACAAAGCTTAGTGAATTCCCCAAAATACCACATATAACACATATTAGCCACTCGAGGCTATAACTCTGTGGGTCCGTGCACCCAAACTCTGTGAACCCTCAGGTTCTAACTTTGTAAACATGCATAGCATAAATCACAAAGAATAATGCAGCGCAACACATAACATATAAATATAGCATACAAGCACTGTATCACATAACTCTATTTACCTACTCAAGGTAAATTATAGTGAGAAGACTCACCTCGCGTATCTCGGTAATTCGTAAATCCCTGAAATCACTAGTGCTCGATCTACCGAGCTATAGTCCTCCTATAACACAATACATCTCTATTTAACACTTCCCCAACTAAGGTCGACTGTCCCTTAACAAGTCAACATATGTCAACACGGGTCCATGGTCAACAGTCAACTTTGACCGGACTCGACGAGTGCACTATAGCGACTCGACGAGTCTATACGCATACACTGATTTCCCTGGGATCCTCACTTGACACGATAAGTATTCTCCTAACTCGACAAGTTCCACCTGGCATGAGTTGTGGGGCCTCCACGACTCAACTCACTGAGTCTCAAGAACAACTCGGCGAGTCCTAGCTTGACTTAGTCCACCTATCAACCCACTCTGACTCTCCCTGACTCACTGAGTCAATCCCTCAACTCGGCAAGACCACGCGCTGAGTGGTGTTGAGCAATCTTCATGCTACTCGCCGAGTCTATTCTTGGACTCGGCGAGTCCATGCCATGCAACGACTCAAAATTACTCCTGAGGTCAGATCTATTCCACTAACTCATAGATCCAGTCCTTCCAATCTTATTTATCACGTAAAGTTGCTATCTTGATGTACATACAACATCTATAAGACCATATATGATGATTTAGCCCCAAATACCACAACTCAAGGTCATAACCTCCATTGCTCTTCATAAAGCTTGATGAGTGTGGCTCTCTGGACCTCTATGGATCCAGATCCAAAGCCTCATCACTAGAAAGGTACTATTTGGCATCAAATCAACCCAATAAAGGCCAAAAGAAACCCTAAATCCAAATATACTTCTCAAAACAGAAGATTAGCTGAAATAATACCTCAACTGCATTGATCTAAGCTTCAAATCCACAGTATAGCAACCTCCTTTGCTTCCTCTTGGCTAGGACCTCCTTCTTCTTGCTAAACAGCACCACAAAGGTCAAGAATGGCTTCCTTTCTCTCTCAAAACGCTCAAGCACTCTAGGGTTTCTCTCTATGGATTGGTGAGCACAAATGACGGCCATAAGGCCCTTTAAATAAGTCTCAAACCCTGGGAATTAGGGTTTCATTACACAGTGTGGACTCGCCGAGTGCAGACGCGAACCCGCGTCCAAAATCGCGATCCTACTCGGCGAGTTTGAGCTCCAACTCGTCGAGTCCACTCACAATTCTCGAAAAATACACCAAAATAAATACCTGGAAATTATGGGTTGTTACAATTCTCCCCCACTAGAACTAGACTTCGCCCTCGAAGTCTCGCTCTGCAAATAACTCCGGATGCTGCTCGCGCATCTCACGCTCCGGTTCCCAAGTCATCTCGGACCCTTTCCGATGTTGCCACTGAACCAAAACCAAAGGTACCTCCTTGTTTCTCAGAAATTTGATTTTCTGATCTTTGATTGCCACTGGTCTCTCAGCATAATTCAAGTTCGCATCCACCTGAATATCCTCTAATGGAACCACTGCTGACTCATCGGCTATACACTTCCGTAATTGCGACACATGGAAAGTGTTGTGAATCGGCCCCAACTCTGCTGGAAAATCCAAACGATAGGCTACCCTGCCTACCCTCGCGACTACCCGAAATGGTCCGATATATCGGGGCCCCAACTTGCCCCTCTTCCTGAATCGGATCACTCCTTTCCAAGGAGAGACCTTCAGGAGCACAAGGTCGCCGACCTCGAACTCAAGTTCGGACTGGCGTCTGTCCGCATAACTCTTCTGTCGACTCTGAGCAGTCAGTAACCTCTGTCTGACCTACTGGATCTGCTCTGTCGTCTGAAGTACGATCTCAGTGTTGCCCACAACGCGCTGTCCGACTTCTCCCCAGCAAATGGGGGTCTGACACCTCCTCCCATACAACAGCTCAAAGGGTGGCATACCGATGCTCGAATGATGGCTGTTGTTGTAAGAAAACTTGGCCAAGGGCAAATACGTGTCCCAACTTCCCCCAAAATCCAATACACATGCTCGGAGCATGTCCTCGAGCGTCTTAATCATCCGCTCACACTGTCCGTCTATCTGGGGGTGATATGCGGTACTAAAATGCAGCCTAGTACCCAGCTCCTCATGAAACTTCTTCCAGAATCTGGAAGTGAAACGTACATCCCGGTCTAAGACAATCGAGATCGGCACCCCATGCCGAGATACCACTTGCCTCACATACATCTCTGCTAACTTCTCTGCGGAAGAACTCTCACTGATAGCAAGGAAATGAGCGCTCTTTGTCAACCTGTCCACAATCACCCAAATTGCATCAACTCCCCGAGCAGTCCTTGGCAATTTCGTGATGAAATCCATGGTGATCTGATCCCACTTCCATTCAGGAACCTCCAACGGCTACAACTTACCATGCGGTCTCTGGTGTTCGGCCTTAACCCTACGGCAGGTTAAGCACCTCTCAACAAACCACGCAATATCGCTCTTCATACAGGGCCACCAATACTCCCTCCTCAAATCCAAATACATCTTAGTGGCCCCAGGATGGATCGGGAATTTCGACCGATGAGCCTCTTCCATCAAAATCGTACGCGTTCCTCCCACAAACGGTACCCAAATACGCCCCTGAAAAGTCATAAGCCCCCGACCATCAGTAACGAACTCCGATACCAACCTAACAAATCGCTCTCTCTTCTGGTTTTCCGACCTCACTGCCTCAGCCTGTGCTCCTCGAATGGTGTCCAACACCGGAGTCATCACGGTCAATCGCAAACATACATCTCGCAACGGGGCGCTCTCCGCCCTGCGACTCAGGGCGTCGGCTACCACATTAGCCTTGCCCGGATGGTACAGGATCT